TGTCCGGGGGTTGAAGGCTGCCGTCCACAACCCTAACAATACGGACATGGGTAAGAGATCGGCGCAGGAGAAGTTGGAGTCGCTGGGTGAGAGCGCGGAGTAGATGAAGATGGGATAGAAGTGGAAGTGGATAGATGGGCTGGATGGACTGGATGAGTGGATTGGAGAAAGTTGTATGGTGAGAGGATAGCAGGAGGAGATTGTCTTGTCCAGACTGTACAGATTGTATTATAGATTGTATAAATTACAAATTGCGTTTTTTGCATCCATATACTTTATGAGTCATGCCAGTCTTCGTAGGACTTTCGACAACTCGGACTTTGTGCTCAAATCTACTATTCATCATTTTTAATAGTCAAGTCCTCCTTTATAATATCAGCCGCCTTCTCTGCCACCGCATACACAGTCGCCTGGATATTGCCTCTCGGCTCCAGAGGGAAGACACTGGCGTCCACGACCCTGACATTCGCCGTCCCATAGACCTTCAGACGAGGGTCGACTACGCCTCCGTCCTCACGGGGCATCATCGCACACGACCCGCTGAAATGGTACATCGACAGCACAAGCTCCTTGCAGAGCTCCTTCGTCTTTCCCAGATCGGTCAGCCTCAGCCGCTCCGGCGTGTGCAGACGCTGGCCACCCTTCTTGAGCAGCGACGCCATCGGCTCTGTCTCGGCGATCTTCTCCATCCACAGGCTGTGGCGCGCCGTCAGCTCCAGATCGACTGGATGGCGCAGGATGCCGTGGTCAATGGCCGGGGGCTCACTTGGATCTGCTGACTGCAGATGCACTGACCCTCGCGAGAATGGATGGCTGAGGAGACAGACCACGCTGACGAAGTAGCCCGGGTGTCCCAGCCCAAATATCCCCTTCGCGCTGGGCCCTTCCCTCGGGTGTAGCTGGAACGGGGCAAAGATGTACTGCGCGCTGGGCTCCGCAGGATCTTGTAGAAGCTGTCGCAGGACCTTGTACTGTTTCTTCTGGGCTGCCGTTTTCCCCGTGCCTTCGATCTGCTGCAGTAACTGCGCTCGCTGCTCCGGTGGGAAGTCCGGACAGGGCAGGAATGCCGATACGAGAGGCACCATTCCTAGAGGCCCGGAGCCATCTTTTTGATATGCTGCCATGGCTGCGGCTGCGACTTCAGGGTTGCGAGCCATGTCGCCTGAGGGCATTCTGTCCGCGACCTCGTATCCAAAGGCGATGATCCCGTGGTCCTGGAGGTTTTCTCCGACGCCTTTGTTGTCGACGAGCACGTCAATGCTGTGGGCGAGCAGGAGGTCGGCGTCCCCGATGCCCGAGAGCTCCAAGAGCTGGGGAGTCTGGGTAGCTCCGGCTGCGAGGATGACCTCTCTGGTGACTGCGATCTTGTATGTCTTGCCGTCTTTGGACGCCTGAACGGCCGTTGCAACGACAGAATCGCCTGTCTTCTCCAGGAGGAGCTTCTCCACAAACGCACCCGTCACAACGCGCAGATTGGGACGCTTATGCACCGATTCCCCGAAATATGCGGCACCGGCATGGCTTCGTGTGTGAGTGACCGGGTCAACGGAGCCAGGGCTGACGAAGGGCCCCGTCCCAGCACCGTTGATCGGGTCTTCTGTGTGGGAGAAGCCAAGGTTCTTGAACGTCTCGAGCCACGCGGCGTGGTACGGCATGTACTCGTCACCGAAGGACACCTGCACGGGACCGTCGCTGCCTTGATCTCGCTGGTCGTACTTCATGTCCTTGAAGAAGCAACGAACCTTCTCGGATGGCGCGGTCGCTGTGTGAAACTTGCGAATATAAGGCGCCAGATCGTCCCATCCCCATCCGGGATTGCCCAGCTGTTTCCAGGCATTTATGCCCACTTTGGAGGGGTAGACGACCATCCCCAGGTTGATGGCTGACGACCCTCCCAGCGTCCGACCTTTGGACGCCAGCAGCTGCCGGCCATTGAGCTGGTCCTGCTGAAGTCAGCCCGTACTCTCCTACCTGAGTAAAGTGCAAAACATGCCTGGGGAACGGATCTAAAGTCCCAGTCAAAATCAGGGTCTCCGTACGTGGCGGCCGCGAGACCGGGCACCGTCACTCGAGAATCGTCGAGGCGGTTCGTCCCAGCCTCCAGCACGAGGACGCACACATGGGGGATTTCGGTAAGTCGATTGGCGACGACGAGGCCGGAGGTGCCTCCGCCGACGATGACGAAGTCGAAGACGGCGTCTTCAAGGCCAGCGGCGGAGTCGGTGTCGATGGAAGCCATAGATGGACGAAGTAATTATTTGGTCGATTTATGTAAACCGCAGCTGAGCCTGTGAGCGTTGCTTGTGACAGGAGCAGACTGCATTCGATGTTCATCAGTTTCACTTGCAATTATTAGTCTGCCTTTATTTCCTAGTGCGGAACCGGTGTGGCAGTGATGGATCTACTCTGTAGTGAGTAGCGTAGAGGGAGAGGCATAGGAACTCCTCACAAGATATTTAGTCTCAGATATAATTGGATGCAGTTGGTCATCTCCGACGGGATGGCTACATGGATTAATAGTTCACTGCAAGCCGTCATCAGGATTATGGATTGTCTTGGGACCGTGTCTATCCCAAATTCAACTGTAATGATAGATTCAGTGAATCGCACTTGTAGTCGGTTACTCTACATGAGCAAATACATATATGCATGCATCCATATATATATCTGCATTTTTCTAGAGAAGTATGCCATTGATGATGATAATAATGACTGATTCTTACAGTCAAGAAGAGACATGTCCAGAGAGATCTGGGAATTGATTTGTAGCAGATCAATTAATCTATCAAGATCTCATCCTTATCCACTAATTCTTATCATTGATATGAGTGGTTACACTTAAATCCTATTGATATAAGCATGCTGAACAATCCTTGAAGGAACTAGACACATACTATAGACGAAGTTCCTTATACCAAGGATTGATTTTTTTTAGCTTTGCTTTTGACATTACTTGTCTCGTTTTATTTATTTTTATTCGTTTATTTACTCTTTAATATCATTCTCGTTACTTAACACAGTGTGACGATTACATCTTACTACAGGATGCCGGTATTCTGCTCCGCCAACGTGTCATCCTTGAGCGCTGGTCGATTTGCTCTTCCTGCCATTGTTTACAAGATTGTCAGCTGAGACTACATCCACTCCGTCGATGAGAATGACTTGCGCCAGCATCAATCGGTATAAACAAGCCGGTAATCCACTTGGCCTGCTTGCTGCAGAGAAACAGAATTGCTAGAGAAATCAAATCAACCTGTCAATTCGTCGGAGAAAAAAAGATATGAAGATACTATAGCAAACATCCAATGCCTTGCCCTTCCACTTAGCAGGTTATAACCTTGCATCGCCCATTGCTCCTCTGACTCCAATTGTCGAGAGCAGACCTCATTAGCAGAAGCAGAATCTAAATAGGACGAAGTTTTTTTTCTTGAAGAGACTCACCTATATTGACCAGATATGCACCGTGCCAAACAGCTGCAATGAGCACCGCCAACATTTATTAATTACGCAGCAACAGATTAGAAGAGCAGGGCTCTGCTGGATGGAGGACAGTCCGCTTGCCTAATTGCCGCATCTGCTTTACCAGGCGATCTATTTCCTGCTGATGCAGTTTTTCTGTTTATTTATCTACATGTGCTCTATATGTCGTACGTAAAGCAGGCATTGTCATATCAAATCTCAATCTGTCATACAAACAAAACTCGATCCAATAAATCACATATAATAAATAGTAAAGATAGAACGACAATCTCCACCTACTACGACAACCAGAAATCAAACCACTCCACGATACTTTTCAAGCTCTGTTCTTTGACATATCCTAGAAGAGAAGCATGATGTTAGATATGAATAGTGATGACTCCAGTCGAAGCACGCTGAAACGCACGTTCATATGGATTCTCCATGTTCCCCCGCAGCGCAAACCCATGCTCGACGCCGGAGAAGAGCTGTAACTGGTACTTCTTTTTCTCCGATTGCAGAATATCGACTGCACGTCGACGAGTGGCGTCGAATGTGTGGTCTATCTCTGCGCAGGAGAGGAAGAGGGGTTCTAAAAGAAATAAATCGTAGATCAGTCTTGCTATATATATATATGCATCCGTTCTGTGCTTTCCTTACTTTTCAGGTTATAAAAATGATGCTCCTTCAAAAACGCCGGATGGGCAAACGCGCCTGCGGTGACCGTGTCGCCCGCAAGGGCATCGCACACGTACGGCGCGCCGAAACAGTACCTACAGAAGGGAATAAGCCGACGCAGACGAGTCATGTAAGTGGTAACATACCCAACGCAAGCGTACTTCGTTTGCGGCCCTCCATACTCGTCTTGCACGGCCTTGACCCATCGCGGAACGGCTTCGTTCGCGAACGCAGTGTGCTTTTTCTTCCAGGCCTCGTAGTCAAAGTCTGGATTGGATTTGTCGTGGCGGTCCTTGCGGTGTTTCCAGACGGGGTCATGATCGTACAAACAGCTTAGCTAGATTTACAGCAGTAGTTGCTTCTGCATTGTTGCTGTGTTTACTCACCCCCCGAAAGTGATCCACCCCCAGTACCAGATACCCCGCATCCGCAAAGGCGTCCATCACCAGAAGGCCGTTGGTGAACATTCCCCAGACGTCAGGGAAGTAGAGGACGATGTTCCCATTTGCTTTGGCGGGATCCGGGAGAGACACGTACGTGTCGACCCCGGCGACAGGCGCGAAGATGCCTCGAGGGTGGCCTTGGTGAAGCGATCCGTACAGACAGCAGGATGCGGATGGTTTTGCGAGGAAGTCGCTGTTGTCGTTGTCGTTGGCATTATTGAGATGATCTTTCTGTGTTTCGGTCGCCATGTCTGTTCGTGGAGATGGTGTTCGACTATCGCGTGAGATATGTGACGTCGTACAGAGATGGCTAATATCAGTCTATCTTCATTATGCGAGCGTATCAGACGATTGTCACTGCATGCGATGTACGGCAAGTTTAGGCGAGAGGCTGAATTGGAGAGCTTCCCCGGATAAGAAGTCCGGGGTAATCTGCAAATCCCGTGGCATAAGTACTATAGGGATAGTGTTGATCGTCACTTTCCTCCCCGCATTTTCGCTTTTTTTTCTCATTGTATACACGTTTTCGAGTTCACAGCATGGCTATGACGGAGGCCAAACAGAGAAGGGACATGTCGACCGCATATCGAATTCGCCAGCGATGTCGATATAGAAGACAGCAATGGAGCTTGTCAGCTGCAAAGCCAAATCCTACATCAGTCAACGAGATTGATGCCTCCAAATCAATGAACAATGACTGCTGACTTGATTGCGACCGACGCCGTCGGATACAAGGAATATCAAGAGGGACTTAAGTAAGAGTTACGAAGGGGTCTACCGCTCTCTAGGGTCGTGGCTACTGCAAAATGCATGGGTTTGGTGGATATCGACCTTGTCAACCTTCCATCTTCCTCTCACGCAGGCGCTGTAAGCCATCAACAAGACAGCACCAAACTATGCCAATCTGTTTGGCTACAGCAGGCGCTGGGCAGGAGTTCAACTATATCTCTGCTAGTAGGAGCATCCTAAAGGACTGTCGCACTGCAGGTCTGATATCGATTGTGGTCTTTGGGGATATTTCTTCGGCCTGGATCCTAAGCCATGGTGCTCATCCTGACGCAGTGTCGGACCTATTCAGCGCCTGGCGGTGCGGTTCCTGATGGGCCTCTTTGAGGCTGCCATCATGCTTGGCCTAATACTTATGAGAGGCTTCTGGTACACCTAATAAGAGATCTAGTACTCTGTTTTAGGCTAGGCTGGTATTATTAGATCCTATATTACCCTGGGCATATCAAAAATACCACCTAATATAAAGCTGCAGTACCAGCAGCTTTTCTTAATTATCATTAGCAGCGCAACCTATATGTAGGCGTCTATAATCTATTTATGCTGCCCAATTTACCGCCGAGTGTATTTTCTCTGACCAGCTAAGAATATATTATAGCTATTAAATAGTAGCTAAGAATAAGATAAAGATAAAGAATAAGGTCTTTAACAAAAAAATAAGCAATTCTCATATACTACGATCTAAAGGTAATCCTATTTTTATCTCTAAGTGTATAGGAGTAATCTTTAATAATATTATTAATCCCTTTTTTACCATCATTATTCACAACATGATCTTCTCGACCACCAGGACTACCGAACTGAATACCGTCAGAAATGCCGTCCAGGTCGTGGCAACTTCATCGGCAGCGCGACCACAATGAGTATACCAAATTGTCAACTGCTGACGACGACGGCAGCGAATATTCTGTGTCGAGACCGCACCTGTGGGCAAGCTGAAAAGGAGAAGATGACGAAGCCAGGATGCAGGACAGGACCGAGTGTGAGAACAAAGACTTCGATATAGTAGTGATCTGTCGATTTTCTAGTGTAATGTAAGGATTACTTACAGGAAGCAAGGAAACATTGCTTAATATGAGACATCCTACCTTTTATTCTTGACGGCTTCCATTTCCGTCCATCTATCTGGTATATCTGTCTGTCTGTCAAGAGGCCAAAAAAAAGAATCAATTTTTGGTTCAAGATAGTCAAGTACATGTAGTCTATAATATCGTCAATCCCGCTACAAAGCTGCCTTACCTATTATACAAGCTAATAAATACAACCGGCCTATTTCCCCCCCTATTTTCATGTGAGTTTTCTTTTTTTTTCTTTGACGGCGTATTTCAGGTAGACTAGACACTTGACTTTCTGCTGTAGATCAAGTCCTCTGTAGACAAGGATGTAAGTATCCCCGCGTGCAAAAGAGTTATGGCAGCTATAAAATAAATGCACCTAGCTACCAGAGTACTTCGTACCAGCCTTATGAGAAAGAAGTACAAATAAATTCCACTATCTATGATAACTAAATTTAAGCGTAAATACTTTATTAAGTCTGAATCTGGGGTAGTAAAGCTGTGTCCGGACTAAATGCGAAGATAGGGCTTAATTAAACTACAGTGATAATATCTCTATTTATTCCCATGCTCATATTTTATCATATCATCTAGTACTGATATATTCATACTCACAGCTAGGAATTCGCATAGCAAAAATTCCTCAACAACATTTCTTTGATCGATCGATTCCGTCAGTTCCGTCCGCCCTGTCCGACTCCCTGGCAGCGTTTCCCCAATCGAGTACCGTGGATCCACCATGGCTTATTACCTAACACCCAGCAAAACAATTGGCTGATCAGGTAACAATTTTGTTTGCTGTGCTAAAAATAAGACGCACTAGCCAATAAAGTATGTAGTATTAGTATGCTTCCCCACAAAGACTAATGATGTACTTCGTCCAATAGTAGTACTGCTAATTATTCTCTCTGGATATACCAGGTATACTCCGTATAGGACTATATCCAGTGAATAGAATAAATATATGAATAATGAATGAATAGAGTAACTAGTATCCCTGATGCTAGCTCCAGATGTTATTAGTTAATGAATCAATTAACTCAGCTAGACTTGCTGTAGGCTGTTGGTTACATGGAAAATGACAGGGCTGAGTGATGACGCAGCACAGCCACTAACAACCAGGCTGAGCCAGCAAAAGCAGACCACTGACTGGATCCGAGACAAGACAGGGCTGACCCATAATTAGCTGGCTGGCTGGCTGGCGCTGCCGGATACATAGCTGGAGCTTGTACTCCGTCCTCCGTACCATATTTCAGCCCTATCCTCCTTTCCTTTGTCTGTCCTTTATCTTCTATCTTCTGTCCTCGATTTTATTCTATTCTACCTGCATACTGTCTTTTTTCCAGCTGCTTGCCTACAGATCTATCTGCAATAACGACTGAGTTAGTCTCAGATCGAATCGAATCGATTCTCGACCTTCTTCTACCTCCCACTACATCAAACCAGGAAAAAAACGACCGAAACAAACGAAAATGTCCGCAACAACCACCGCCGTGTCTGCCACCTCCACCGCCAGCACAACCTGCAACGCACAAGTCTACGAAATCCCGACAAAGGACGCCGCATGCGCCGTTCCAGCACAAGGAGGGAGCAACTACGCCGACGCAATGAAGACCTGCTGCCACTCGGCGAGCGTGCAATCCTACGATAACAACTGCGGCTTGTACTGTCTCGCGCAGGGCCAGACGGTGGGCAACCTGACGAGCTGCCTGATGGGCCACGGCGTGGACAGTGCGCATGTCTTTTGCAATCAGAACCAGACGGCGACGGCGACGGAGACGGCGTCTGCGAGTAAAGAGACTGGTTCTTCTTCTACTTCTGGGACGAGTACGGGTTCCTCTGCCACGGCGACGTCGTCTAAGAGTGCGGCTGTGGCTGCGAAGACGGTGTCCAAGTCTGGTTTGGGGGTTTTGGCGCTGCTGTTTTGCTCGTCGCTTCTCGGGGCGGTTGCTTAAGCGGTTGCATATACGGCAGTGTGTAGTCGATAGAGTGGCCAGTTATGGAATGACGACTGACACACTGCTGTGGATGAACAGAGGAGAGGAGAGATACAGAAGAATCGCATCATGGGATAACGGACTGCTGCTAGCGTCGATTCCATGCCGTTGGACTAGGATGGAATCGGACTGCGGGTCTACTGTATCATTCTTCTTCTTCTTCTTTTCTTCCTCTTCATATTGATTTGATTCTTTTTTGTGTGTGTGTCTGTGTGTGTCTGTGTGTTCTGTATCACTAGGGCTGGATCTTAAAATTTAGTATTCTAAATTCAGTTCAATTTTATTGAAATCTGCGGTTGATTGAAACACATATCTGTTCTACTTCCCCGTCGAGTACAGATAGGAACATAGTTATATAACGATAAGACTGGATGCACTTTGGCTACGGCTACTGCACTCTCAGCGCGTAGTGTCGGGTACGGATAAGAATCCTGTTGGAGGAAATGGCTGCATACAGATAGAAAAGAGAGAATAGATTCATCTCACTATATACTGCGTACATGGATATCATTCGCCTTCGATTCATGCCACTATAGCAAACTCAAACGCAGACAGCTTAGGCTGCCTTGACAGGCTCCGCCTCCACTGCATCGCCCTTCTCGTGGCCATTCTGGCCCTCGCCGCTCGTCAGCCCCAGCTCCACGTGGATCTGCTGCATGCGCTCCTTGTCGGCGGCGGCGACGCCCACACTTCCAAAAATGACATCCATCTCCTCGAGCGTCAGCTGCTTGGTCTCGGGGACGAAGAAGAAGATGAACAGCGCGCCCAGCAGCGTGAACAGGCCGAAGAAGATGAACGTGCCGTACTTCAAGCCGGTGATCATGTCCGGCGTCACCTGCCCGACGATGAAGTTGTTCATCCAGTTGGAGCTGGCGCCCAGCGCGATGCCGTACGGCCGCGCCGACAGCGGCCACACCTCCGCCACGATGATCCATGCACACGGTCCCCACGACCACCCGAAGTTGCCGGCGAACAGCCACACCATGACGATGGCTGCCCAGCCGGCTGCGTGGTGCGTCGGCCACTGGTACTGGTTCTTGGCGAAGATGACGGCGATGATGATGTGGCAGGCGCCCATGGCGACGGCGCCGGAAATCAGCACGGGCTTGCGGCCGATCTTGTCGACCCAGAGGATCATGGGGATGGTGGTGACCAGCATGACTGGACGATATTAGCTCTGAAACAGACGGAGAGAGAAGAGAAAGGGACGCACCAATTCCTACCACACCCGTCGCCAGCAAGCTCGTCGTGTTGCTCGACATGCCCAGGGCAGCAAAGATGGACGGCGCATAGTACAGCACGGCGTTGACACCGGTCCACTGCTGGAAGAACATGGTGACCGTAGCCACAATCACACGACGGAACATGGGCATGGTCTTGAACAGCGAGCCGATGGCGACAAACTGCAGCTTGGCCGTGTTGAGAACCGTCGGCTCGGCCAGGTGCGGGAAGTTGGCCGCGACGGACCGCTTCTCGAACAGGGACTGCGCCTTGATCTCGAGGAACTCGAGCTCGACGGCCTCGTCCTCGGGCGTCGTGCTGCGCAGCTTGGCCAGCACGCGGCGCGCCTCGTCCTCGCGGCCGTGGTGGACGAGCCACCGCGGCGAGAAGGGCATGAAGAGCATGCCCAAGAAGAGGATCAGTGCAGGCACCAGCTGCAGACACAGCGGCACCAGCCAGGCCCCGTCGCTTTGGGTGTCGCCGGTGCCGCCGATGTAGTTGGTTCCGTAGTCGAT